TGTCACTGGCCGCCATCAATGACTTGCCTCGGAGTTTTTTGTCCTGTAGTTGCACGGTGTCGTGCATTTCATTGCCTTGTCTCCGAAGCGTCGGTGGTAGAAACAAACTCCCTCCTGTGCTGGGGATCTGCTTCGCCATCTCGGTCTGTCTCTTGCTTGACTTCTGTGTCGGCTCCGAGATCTCTCCCGGTTTCTCGCCATCTTCGTGACTTCTGTTGTCAAATCTGCGACCTGTTTGCTCAGTGCTGCGATCTGTAATTCCCATGGGTTTCTGCTCTCCGTGCCGGTGGGTACTGCGGTTGCCATGACTGTCGTCTTGCCGCTGACTTCGTGGATCCTGTCAGCCTGTTCTGCGACGTCTTCTAGCCTGTCCTCTGTTCTCGTGGCTAGTATTGCTTGCATATTTTGTGGCAGCCTTGCTAGCCATAGTGTTCGTAGCAATTCCTTTGATACAGTTGTGCCTGCCAAGGTACTCAGGTGGCGCAAGAATTGTGACGGCTTTCTGTCGCCTATATCCTCGTGTTCGAGTAATTGCCGGATCCGTTGTCCTTGGGAATCCGTTAGCCTTTGTATTAACGCCTTTTTTATAGTCTCGTACTTGTGCGTTAGCGGTGGTTGCGTGATCAGGTCTTTGATCTCCCGGGCTTGCTTTGGTTCGATCCGTGCGAGGACGAAGGCGTATTTGGCGTCGTCTTCCGTTACATTGAGGAGTGCGAACTGGCCTTCCAATTGTGCGAACCATAGCTCCGGTTCTTCTGCCCAAAAGTTTGGTATCCTTACGGAGATCCTGCTCACGTTTCCGTCCATGTCCTCCACCGTGATTGTTTTGTCCTTCGACATCCTCCTCTTTTTTTAAAATCGGGGTCACCAGTTTGAGGCGTATTTGTTGGATGTCGATGTAGGAGTGGTGGTCGCCGCAATGAAGAGACGTTTCTTTCCTTTGTACTATTTACAATTTATTCTGTTACTAACGTATTTACAGGTATGTGTACAAGTGATCTTGTGGGTTGTCGTTTTTGTGGCCCTAAAAAGGGCCGGTGGCTCGCCGCGGTCTTAGGCTGGCGGCTTACGCGGGCCCCACGCTATGCTGGGCTGTGTGCGTGTAAAACTCCACAGCTGTTCTCTATGTGGAGTCTGAGTGGCCTTATCGTAGGCGTATATCTCTGCCGTCTGTGCCGCTGTTGACCGTCGTTCGGA